TTTTTTTTTTTTGTTGTTGTTGGTTGGTTTGTCTTCATTTTCTCTTGTATACGGGTCGCCTGTGATGTCGTCTCCTGATCCCGATCACTTATGCTTTGTTCCCCCTCTCTTCAGATGTGTTACAAGAATATTCTAGCAATTTAGTTTCTCTGTTGCTTCTGTTTTCAACCTCTTATTTTGTACGTTGTCCCATCTGTTGCATGGGGAGAGGATGGCATTGATGAACTGCATGTAGTAGGCTATGTCTATCAAGAACTGTTGGTATGTACCGCTAATTTTACATACATATATGCAACGAGTTTGTCTACACTATACAGTTTGTGTTTGTTGTATACACATATACAACATATTGAATAAAATATTTATATAAGGGTGTACTGTAATGTCAGTAACATACTTAATGCAATATAGTGTGCAGTATATTATTGCACCTGTCATTTTTGATGGGACAAAGAAAACAGAGGGGGTTGGCTAGTTTAAGCATGAAAAAGGCCAAAGTAGAATTTACATTAAATTTTTTCTTTGTGACTTCTTATCGGTCCTCTTTTCAAGTGGTGACTGAGCTCTTGTGTCAATGCAGCTCTCATCCCCTGTCGCCACCTTTTGAAGTGACATGGACATCCAGCATGCCACAACTGAACTATGTATGCCCTTCTCTTTGTTTCCTCCGCTTAGAATTTAACCTTATCACTAGTATGAGTTAGGAGTGAGAAATGTCCATTGCGTGCTGTACCACCAGTACAGTGTGGGTTTCATGACGGATTGTTTGGTTTGAGTTCCCGATTGAGAAGAATAGGCACTATTAAAATGATTTATTTTCAACAAAATATATATATACCATTGCAAGTATGCCCATTGAAGTTATGTCATGTTATAACAAATTTGTAACCATGTATGATTAAGGTCTTCGCATTGTTTTCCATGCAAACTGTTGTGTCATGCGGCACATTTAATGTTTTATTATTAAAAAGAAATAAAAACCTCAAACAGTAATCTCTGCCTTGAGATTTTGAGTGAACTTTCAGTCCAATTTGGGAGCAACACACCACTTAGAGTTAAAAACAGATGTATTTATCCTCTGCAGTATCGCACATATTGCGACCTCAATAATCCTTCCCTTTCCAACATTTGGATTTGTCATGTCACCTGCATCCTACTATGTGTAGCCATCTGGAGTATGTAAGCGTTCCTACATTATATAAAAAAAAAGATACATAAAGCTGTTCTGGAAACAAATGTTTACATGTTATTATGTTTATGTTTCTTTTACACCTACAACACCCAGTTTTATAAGGATAATTTGTAGCCAGTACGATAAAAGAATGAATGCTGTTAATGATATGCAGAATTACATCCATGTTTAGCTTGGTTTTCTCCCTCCTCCCGTGGTTCTCCAGGCTGTGATGTTTCTACAGCCCGGGTGGTGACCATCGGTGGTGCTCTGGTCGCTCCGGGCAGCCAGTCTCTAACACCAGTGTTCTCTCCTCTTCAGTACTCTGCTCCCACCCAGATTTCGCAAGCGTTCCCTGTCCAGCCGTCCCAGCACTCACAATTGCCACAATTGCACATCCCATTCCCTGTGAGGAGATGTGAGAAGAAAAGCTGTGAATTAAGAGCTGTGCCATCATGCCTGACCTTTAACAAGGTTCCTCTTTTCACACCCTGCTTCCCTGGGTGCAGCCCAAATGGTGGGGGGGTGGAGGCTGACTAAACTGCTCAGGACAGTTTTCCACTGCTTTTGCCCACACAGCAGAGGAGAAAACTTTGGTTTAATTAAGAGTGAAAAGCCTATATACTTTACTCACCACATTTGTTCAAAGCTCATATATAGCTACATCTGATAGTCTTTATTTATTAAACTGTAGTTGTGATACAATAAAGTCTGACAGTCCTCTGGCTTCCGACAACCCTTGTTTGTTTTAAGTCCAGTAGCAAAGGAAGAAATATTGCTGTCAGGAGTCTCAGACAGGAGTTTGGGGGGGACGGAGAACTGACTTCAACACAAGAGACTGGGGCCTCATTTATAAAAATGTTCTTGGATATATACTTGAAATTAGTCTTAAGAGCATTTCTGACTGTGCTTACATTTGATTCATAAAAGATACTGAGCAGAAAAAACCTTTCTTAAGAAGCCCATTTGTAACTAACGCACCTGTGATCTATAAATTTTAAATTATCTTAAAAGCAACGGTACTTAATGCTTGCACAAATGAGGATTTAGTCAGGAATAGCCATGGACCAAAACGCACATGTGATAGACAGTGAATTAACAGTACAACGTACGTCTGATCCACCAACCAAGCACTCATTTCAGTGAGAAATCTTAATTTCTGAGACAGTTCGACTCCTATTCCAACAGTCTTCTCCCACTAAGTGCAGCTAACTATCTGAAGCAGACGAGTTGACGCGGCGAAATGTAAAGTTTGTACAGAAATAAAGTTTATTTTCATGTATTTTACTGATGTCGAATTGACAAGACCGTCAACGCATGACATACTTTAGCTTGTGTTTCTAGAGTTATGTGTTTCTCCTGTCACTTAAGGAATTGTTAATGTGTCATATTTCTTAAAGGGAGTTTGGTGTGATATTTTCCCCTGAGAGCACAGGGAGCTTTTCGAACTTCTTTGTATATTTTTATACATTTATATTTAACATTTTGTCACCATTACAGACAAAGTATGATAAGGCATCTGACGTTGACTGCTGACTGTTAGTTACTGGTTTAATAATGTGTTTGTGCATTGAATACTGATGGTGCTGATCAAGCTAATTATCATCTAATTGTACTCAGTTTCTAATGACAGCATGCAAAAAGCGGTTGCCCTTTGTCTGCGATTATCTGTCACTCACTGCTGAAAGTACAGAACACAATGAAAAACTAATATTTTTTATATATAATAGTGCAATAAACTGAGCTTTATAGTTAAATAGCAGCTCTATTGGTCATGATTGAAGGTTTTATATTGCAGGAAATGGTACTTTCAGGTGGTAATTAAATGAAAAATTTCCTGCAAAAATTTTGTATCCCTACTTTTAACAATAAATAGGCGCCCATCATTGTTGTTCACCACAGGCCTGTGCACATATGTGTCCCAAACTGCAATGCTCCTACAAAACTTTTCTGTGCAAGTGAAACTTAAAATCAAAATGGAGCTTTAGTTTGTTTTATAAATGTATCTTTCTCTAATCTTAACTATGTAGCTTAAGCAACCTCGGTTGGAACCAATAGGGGCCGGATCAGCATCACCATCGCAGTGGGGTTTTTCCACCCATAAGTCCAGTTGCCTCAAGCTCGTCACAAGCTCCCTGAGTTGTCAGACAGAAGATGCTGAGGCTAGGAAGACTCCTCCTGCTGGCCTCCTGTCACACAGCTGGAAAGACATCTCCACTGCAAAATATCACTTTGGGAGAGGAGGGAGCAGTGTGAGGAGGCAAAAAGGGCGATGGATGGCGAGGAGGATTTAAACAAAAAAGGGGAAAAAACCGAAGTCAGCAGAGATGGGTAAGTAAGTGAGAAAATAAAAGTGAGGTAGGAAAGCAATAATGTCACATAAAGGGACTAAGCTTGAGGAGTCAACGCGTGGTTTC